ACAAAGTGGTTTTTACACACGGCAACTTTTACACGCAAAAGCTTTTACACAGAGAAGCCTTCAGCCAGAGGAGCTTATACACACAAAAGCGTTTACACACAGCAAGCTTTTACACACACAGGGGCTTTTACACAAAGAAGTCCTTACACAAAGGAGCTTTTTACACACAGAAGGTTTTACACAGAGAAGTCTTTACCCTAAGGAGCTTTTGCACACAAACGTCTAGGAGCTTTTTCACACAAAACTTTTTACACGAAGAAGGCCTGACAGAGAGGGTTTTTACACACAGACGTGTTTGCACACAGAAGCTTTTTTTACACAGAGAAGCCTTTACACAGAGGAGCTTTTACACACAAAAGCATTTACACACACAGGGGCTTTTACACAGAGAAGCCTTTACACAAAGGAGCTTTTTACGCACAGAAGGTTTTACACAGCGAAGTCTTTACTCTAAGGAGCTTTTGCACACAAACGTCTAGGAGCCTTTACACACAGAAGCTGTTACACAAAGAAGTCTTTACACAGATATATAGCTTTCACACACAGACGCGTTTACACACAGAGGCTTTTACACAGAGAAGCCTTTACACTTTACACAGAGAGTTTTTACACACCGAAGCTTTTACACACAGTGAAATCTTTACACAGACATTTCACACAGAGAAGCTTTCACACATAGAAGCTTTTACACAAAGAAGTCTTTACACAAAGTGGTTTTTACACACAGAAACTTTTACACACAAAAGCTTTTACACAGAGAAGTCTTTGCACAGAGGCGTCTTGACATGAAGTCACAAGTTGAAATTGGCAGCAGTTCTTCGGGAAAAACCCTTGGCAGGAGCTTTCGGGCACTCACTTGCTCCCCAAAAAAGCCGTCTATTTCCAACAAAGTTCCTGTTCTTTTTTTTTCAAAAAACGTAAGGAATATATTTCTGAAGCAGGTCCCCATCCAAAAGCTTTCCAGCCCCCACACTGCGATGAAATGGAGGGCCGAGAAATCCGGCGGAGCCGACGAGGGGCGTTAGCCCTTAAATCCGGCCAGGGGCCCCCTGGCCGTGGCATAGCCGAAGGCGGTTCTCTCCTCTCCGTAGGAGAGAGGGGCCGCCGCCCCAGCCGCCGACCAACCCGGCCGCCAAAAACCCCCGCGTTTTACGGTGTTTTGTGCTCTTCCCACTTTTTCCCATTTTTCGGATCTTGTGGCTCAAGATGGGTCAACATGGGCCAACATAGGCCGCAAGATGGGCCAACATAGCCCCAAGATGGGCCAACATAGCGCCCAAGATGGGCCAAGATAGCCCCAAGATGGGCCATCATAGCTCCAAGATGGGCCAACATAGCCCCAAGATGGGCCCACATAGCCCCAAAATGGGCCCACATAGCCCCAAGATAGGCCCACATAGCTCCAAGATAGGCCGCCGACCCTCAAAATCTCCTGCGTTTTACAATGTTTTTTGGCTGTTCCCATTTTTCGGATCTTTTGGCTCCACACGGGTCAACATGAGGCCAACATAGGCCAACGTAGCCACAAGATGGGCCCACATTGCCCGCAAGATAGGCCAACATACGCCAACATAGGCCAACATAGCCACACACTGGGCCTACATAGTTGGGCCCCTGGCCGGCTGTCGCGCGTAAGCGCTTAAATCCGGCCAGGGGCCCCCTGGCCGTGGCATAGCCGTACGGCGTTTCTCTCCTCTCCGTAGGAGAGAGGGGCCGCCGCCCCAGCCGCCGACCACCCAGTCCGGCCAAAAAACCCCGCGTTTTACGGTGTTTTGTGCTCTTCCCACTTTTTCCCATTTTTCGGATCTTGTGGTTTAAGATGGGTCAACATGGGCCAAGATAGGCCTCAAGATGGGCCAACATAGGCCTCAAGATGGGCCAACATAGCCCCAAGATGGGCCAACATAGCCCCAAGATGGGCCAACATAGCTCCAAGATGGGCCAACATAGGCCTCAAGATGGGCCAACATAGCTCCAAGATGGGCCAACATAGCCCCAAGATGGGCCAACATAGCTCCAAGATAGGCCGCCGACCCTCAAAATATCCTGCGTTTTACAGTGTTTTTTTGCTCTTCCCATTTTTCGGATCTTTTGGCTCCACACGGGTCAACATGGGCCAACATAGGCCTCAAGATCGGCCGACATAGGCCTCAAGATCGGCCCACATAGCCTTCAAGATAGGCCAACATAGCCCCAAGCTGGGTCAACATAGCTCCAAGCTGGGCCCACATTGCCCGCAAGATAGGCCAACGTAGGCCAACATAGGCCAACAGATGGGCCAACATAGTTGGGCCCCTGCCCCTGACCTCGCGGTGGGGTGTGCGTGTCGACAGAACCCCCTGTAATTTACAGTGTTTTTTGGCCCTGTGACATTCAACATGTTTTTGCCCTAACATCGCGCACGATCGCCCAACATAGCCCCAAGATGCCCCAACATAGCCCCAAGATGCCCCAACATCGGCCCACGATGGCCCCAACATAGGCCCAAGCTGGGCGAACATTGCCCCAAGATGGGCACAACATGGGCCCAAGATGGGCTAACATAGGCCCAAGATGAGCGAACATAGCCCCAAGATGACCGCATTATGGGCCCAAGATGGGCTAACATGGGACCAAGATGGCACAAAATGGGCCCAACAACCAACCAACCACCAACCACCAACAACCAACCAGCCACCAACAACCAACAACCACAACAACGACCACAACCACAACCACAACCACGACCACAACCACCGCAGCAACAACAACAACAACAACAACACCAACAACAACAACAAGAAGAAGCAGGCCAACATAGTTGGGCCCCTGGCCGGCTGTCGCGCGTAAGCGCTTAAATCCGGCCAGGGGCCCCCTGGCCGTGTCCTTGCCGAAGGCGTTTCTCTCCTCTCCGTAGGAGAGAGGGGCCGCCGCCCCAGCCGCCGACACCCCCGGCCGCCAAAAACAGTCGCGTTTTACGGTGTTTTGTGCTCTTCCCACTTTTTCCCATTTTTCGGATCTTGTGGTTTAAGATGGGTCAACATGGGCCAACATAGGCCGCAAGATGGGCCAACATAGCCCCAAGATGGGCCAACCTAGCGCCCAAGATGGGCTAAGATAGCCCCAAGATGGGCCAACATAGCTCCAAGATGGGCCAACATAGCCCCAAGATGGGCCAACATAGCCCCAAGATGGGCCCACATTGCCCTCAAGATAGGCCAACGTAGCCCCAAGATGGGCCGCCGAACATCAAAATATCCTGCGTTTTACAGTGTTTTTTTTGCTGTTCCCATTTTTCGGATCTTTTGGCTCAACATGAATCAACATGAGGCCAACATAGCCACAAGCTGGGCCCACATTGCCCGCAAGATAGGCCAACATAGGCCAACATAGGCCAGCATAGCCACAAAATGGGCCTACATAGTTGGGCCCCTGGCCGGCTGTCGCGCGTAAGCGCTTAAATCCGGCGATGCCGTCCGGTGGTGGTGGCTAAGCATAGCTTTAGCTACCCGGGGGCGCGCCCCTGCCGCCGACCCTCTGCCGACCCTCCCCGAAAATCCTTCAGCCTGCTGGGGTTTTCACGTTTTTGGGGGTTCGGGGTGGGAAAAAAGATGGTAAAATTTGAAGATGCGTTTTGGGGGTCCTAAAATCGGAAAAAAAATGCCGTTTTGACACATTTTTCGGGCGATTTTTCGCTTTTCGGAAGTCACAAAATGCTGTAAATTACAACATTTTTGCGTTTTAACGTCGTTGGCGGGAGCCATGCACAAACGCAGAAAATGCTGTAAATACCAGTACTTTTTGGACCCGAGATGCACAAAACACTGCAAATACCAGTGTTTTTGAAAGCCAAGGAAAAAAACACTGTAAATTACAGCATTTTTGGCGGGTTGATCGCAAAAAATGCTGGTATTTACAATGTTTCTGCAATTTCAAGCAAACGTGGAAGGCACGAAACACTGTAAATAGCGGTGTTTTGGCAACTTTTGGACGCCGAAACGCTGGTATTTACGCAGTTTTTTGCTTGTGACGGGGCCACTCCCCTGTAAATTACAGCATTTTTTGCACTTTTTGAACCGATTTTTTGTCTTGCTGCATGCAACAAACGCTGGTATTTACACGTTTTTCAAAAAATCGAAGATCGTGATGTGAACGAAACTCTGTAAATAAGAATGTTTTAGCCACTTTCGGGGACTAAAACTGTTGTATTTACACGGGTTCTTGCCATCTCACAGCGCAAAATGCTGTAAATTACAACACTTTGTGCGCATAGGCATAGGCCAACATAGCCTCAAGATGGGCCAACATAGCCCCAAGCTGGGCCAACATAGCCCCAAGATAGGCCGCCGACCCTCTGCATGTCATGTTCGCAAGTTCAGATGACATCCCCCTCTCTCTTTCCCTCCCCCGACCCCTACCGGCGTCGCCGGTGTGCGAAGCTCTACAATATACATATCCTTTGCTGAAGCTGGTGCGCGAAAAAATGTCCCTGCTGATGTTTTTCGGTATTTGCGGGATCGCTGATTGGCTTGTGAGTTGAGTTTCGAACGCAGGGCTCGGGAGTTGAGTTTCGAATGAAAAGCTAGCTTTGAGGTTGACAGAGGGGCGGTTTCCAGTGGTGACCTTCGCTCTGCTACTGGGCCTTGTTGCAGATGCGGTATCCATGCACTGATGGATTAGCCGCCTGGTGCCACGGTTTCTTGCTGCTGCGTGCGCAGGCGAGCTTTGCTTGCGCAAAACCTGTTGGCGTCTGTTTCGTCGTAGTGACCCAGAGTGATGTTGCATCATTCACTTGTCGCATCGTAGAAGGTGAGTGTATTATACTGTCCGGTTATTCATCCGTCAGGTGCTTCGAGCTTTACGACTTCACTATCGCGCAGCTGTTGCAGGGTAAAAAAGTGCGTAGCTGTCTATGACTTCACTTCTCCGCAACATGTTAAAACTGCATTCGGGTTCGTGGCTTCTATCAGGTTTTTTTCTGTTTAGCATCAGAGTACTGCATCAGTACTGGCCGCCCTGGCCTTCTCACACGCCGATATGCTGCTGTTGAAGCTGAGGATCTCAGCTGACGGCGATCAGACTCGGACATTTCGGACATACGACACATAACTGTGACATTTCATGACATGACCGACATTTTACCTTTTGAGGCTCAAACGGACTCTATAAGGCTCTTGAAATCTCTTGAACATGAAACTATATGAAAGTGACCATGAAAGGAGATGGTGGTTCGAGGCTCTCACATCCGGCGAGGGCCATGCCAAGCCTGTAAGGGAAACAGCTGCTATTCAGACTGACACGTTTTGCAATACAGTTCAAGACAACAAGTGCATCACACCTGATTCTGAAGAGTTGGCAAAGCCATCACTGAACTCCTGCGATTCAAAGCAAAAGTTCAAGACTCGCAAACTCCACTTCCGAATGCGAACGTGCCACCAACTGCATATATGACGCCTTTGTATGCCTTTGCATGCCTTTGCATGCCGCTGCATGCCTTTGCAACATCTGCCTATTTGCAATTTGGAGCCATTGTGCGCCGATTCTCTGATTCTGCTTTCCTGATTGGCCATGACGGAGAGAAGCTGCACGGCCTGTGCGACACAACGGCACTGAATGGCTCTGAGTTCGCTGCAGCTGCAGTGCGTCGATGTTGTGCGTCAGATGGAGATTCTGAGATTCTGTTTATGCACTCATCTTGTTCAAGTCACTGGACAAAATTCCCCTTGCCATTCAACTACACGAAGGGATCCACAGCAAGCGAGGAAATTCAGGGTAGAGGTCAAATCAAGACAAATCAAACGTGTGCTCGAGATGTGCTCTGTTTTTTGCAGGAATCTTCGAGACTCCATGAATCTGCCCGGGCAGTCACCACTAAACACGAGAATATAATGAACAAACCTGGAATAGGATCATCCATGGAACTAGGCATACAGCGAACAAACCATGGGGATATAGCTCAACAAATTTGAAGAGGCGTGTTCCCTGCCATGTTCAGTCGTTGTTTTATCACCATGCTTGGGGTTGAGCTGAACGTTGACTCAGTGAGCTCATGCTTGGCCTACATGTCTGATGTGTTCGATCTTCCTGGGTGCTCTAGTTCCTGTTTGAAAGACTTTCTCATTTGGATCTTGAGGGGCAATGGAAGAAATCATTCGAACAAGCAAACGAACGATGTTGCTTCAATGTGGTTGACAGTCTTCACATGTACCAAACGCCTTGAAACTTTCGCGACACAACTTTATCTGCCGAGGTTGCTTGGGATAATCTTCTGACAGTAATGCTAATAGATGCTAATAGCCATGAAATGCAACAATATACAACAATATACAACAATATACAACAAACTGATAAAAACCTTCTAGCTTACAGGAGCTCTAGGCATTTGCTACTTATGCTGTGAATACTTTATGATACTTTATGATATCCTATGAATGTCAACGTAGATGTGTGAGACCATTTGAGACATAGGACTGGTTGGCTATTAGGTTTGACAGCATCGCTTTGAAGAAAAATGATCATAAAAACAGGAAAACAGGATTCAGAACCCAGCGGTGTTAGAACCCAGCGGTGTCAGAAAGTGCCTTTGTTTTGTTTTTCTTATTTTTTCTTGTTTTTTCTTGTTTTTGGTGTATTTTTTTGTTATTTGTTCTATTTTTCTTTTTTTCTTGTTCTTTGTTGCATGTTTTTTGTTTTTTGTTGTATTTGCTTATTTTTCTTGTTCTTTGTTGTATGTTTCTTCTTTTTCTTGTTTTTTCTTGTTCTTTGTTGAATTTTTCTTGTTTTGTCTTTTTATCTCGAGATACTGCTGCAAGTCTGGAGATCCCGGCAGAAGTATCGTGTTTCCGCCGGCCCGACGTCTCGTCTTTCCGCTTAAAACTTATGAGCACTTGCTCGGAGCACTTTTGGAAGTTGAGATGTTCGACTTCTGTCAAATCTCGACTCTTCCCACGATACCTCAAGACCTTTGGGCAAATCTCGGGATCTTCCAACCGTTCTCTTCGAATCGTTACACTTCTTTGATTTTTTAACGTCCTCTCTGTCATTTCACTTTTGTCGTAAACTCTCCAAAACATTTTAGTCCAAGGCTAAGAAAAAAAATACGAAGCTAAGCCAACATAAGCCAACCACAATACATGGCTAAGATAGAATTTTGACAAAGCGAAGCCAAACCGCAGTCCAAGGCTAAGGACTTTTGCTGCAGGTACGTGGCTAATACAGTTTCAGTATGTTTCAGTACGTGGCTAAAAATATCTCCCCAATCCTTCTGCCACTCAGAAGCTCGTTCGCATCCCTTAAGAGTTGCATTGCAACCTGCAGTCGCTTGGCCACCCCTACTTGGCCACTTTGTGACTGCTTCACTCATCTACTGATCTACTGATCTACTCTGAATCTACTCGGAATCTACCCTGAATCTACCCTAAACTTACTCTATCTCGTATCATTTCGTCTTCCCTACACGCAAAAGGGCCCAAGCAAAACCAAAAGCACATGGAAGCACAGCCTGCTGAAACAAACATCAAAAGCATCTGCAAGGTCAAAATGGTCAAATGCTTGCCATCTCGATCAGCTAATTTCTTCTCGGTTTCGAACCCTGTAGCAGGAAGACAGACGCTCCAGTTGTGGGTCCTTCTGTATCAAAGAGGTTGAAAGAGCACAAGTAGCGCAAGTCGCACAAGTCGCACAGTAGCTACAGACAGCTACTGCAGAACCGATCATCGGTTGCTATTATCTTTGAGATGCTGAGCCCGCAAGAGCTCAGGGGACAAAAAACAACACTGCCTTCACTGGCCTTCACCCTTGCAAAGCCGTTCGAAAGCCCTTGACTCCTTGGACTGGACGCATGGAAAGCACGCTCTCTCGGCTTTGCTCGTCCAACCTTGCTTGCACTCGAAGCAACCAACGACCAACTTCCCAGACTTCCCAGGAATCGAGATCCAAACAACAAAACACCTTGATCTCTGTCACAATCTCCTTGATCTCCTTTCTGCTTGTGCCCTTCCCATCCTGCATTGTTGGACTGTCTAAGGTCTGTCCAAATTTCCATACATCAAAAACTCCGGCCTGGCACATACGGCATATTGGCTACAGTAGCTGCCACTCGCAGCCTCAACTCCTCGGCAAGGAGAAATAACCACAGTGAAAGTAGACTAAGTAGACTAAGTAGACTAAGTAGACTGAGTAGACTAAGTAGACTAAGTAGACTAAGTCTGAAGAGCATTGAAGCGCGGAAACAGCGGTGGAGGACTGCAGGTTGATCGATGAATCTCCATGATGTCTTGTTAAGATCCACTTGTCTGTCTGCGCTTGGCTGCGCTTGGCAGAAAGTATGTCGGCACGACAAAAAAATTAGACTTCTGAATTTCTGAATGCACCTCCAACAGTGACAAGCTTCTCTGCCATTGCGAGGAGCCTCGGCACGTGTGACCCGTGTGCATCAATCCAGTGGCATCCTTGAAACAAAAGATACAGCATGAAAAAAAGCATGAAAAAAAGCATGATACAGCTTCAAAATGCTTCAAAATGCTTCAAATCTTTCAAGAGCCTAACGACCACAGCCAACAATGGTCGCATTGTAGCTGATCGTTGATCGTTGTCTATTTGACCTGGAGAACATTCCGAGCATTAGTTTCAGAAGACTCCCGTGCTAGTGAGGGGACCCGGCGCATTTCATCGGACGTCATCTACAAATCAGTACTACGAAGCTAAAGTGCTTATGTCACGGCTTGAGGGCTTCACTGAAATCGAGAGAGATGATTTTGGATCGTGGCCTGCACTGAAGGAGCATTGCTTTTTTGATATTTTTTGTACATTCTTGTTTGATGATATTTTACAGCTTCTGAGCAGACAAGCGCCTTGTCCAAAAGAGCCACCGCGGCCTCCCACTGTATATTGTTGGTGCAGGCGGTGATGGTCGCATTGAGGCCTCATGATGTGCAAATACTCAGGTGACCGGTGGCAATCAGAAAGTCGTCCAGTCTGCCTTGATCTGAAGGTCAGAGATGTCAGAGTCTTCGTTTCGAATCTGCCAAGGCTTCCTATTGCGTTTGGGATTCTGACTGATGAGGTCTGAACAAGCGCTGCCTGGTAATTTTGTTTGTTTGAAAGCAAAAAGCATTGCGTAGAGCATCGTCGACCACTACGAGCAAGTGCAAATAGAAACATTTTCTTCTTCTTGAGGTCTGTGCTACTATCCATGGTCGCAAAAAGATGGATGGCCTCCTGCACATTGTTTTCGGAAGCTCAATAATTACGGAGCTCAAATCGTGCTCTCAGAAAGGGTGTAGCATCTCAGCTTTGAAGTGGCTAAGAGTTGGTAAGTGCTGGCAAGGAAGATTCTACTTTTGCTTTCGTGTTCTAGCCATGCTCCTTCCAGAGTCCAGCACGTTCGAGCACCCGAATTGTAGCCTCAGTGAAACGACGAACTGGCATCAAGGTTGGTTCACTCGTCAGAAAGTTAGAAGCCCAGGAATCTCCAACAGCAAAGATGATAAGAAAGTGTTACAGCAGCCAGTGAACACCATCCCAGGCACCGAAACCCCCACACCGGAGCTCACGCTGGAATCTCCGGAACAACCCGGAACCACCCCGCAATCTCAACCAAAATCCAAAGTCTCCAGAATCATCTGGAACCATCCCGGAACCCACAGCGGAACCCACACCGGAACCAGCACACCAAAACCTCTGGAACCACCACGCCGGAACCACCACGCGGAACGTCCGGAACCAGACTGGAACGCGCACTGGAATCTCCAGAACCGCCACGTCAACCTCTGGAACCAGAAACCTTACCGGGACCTCCACAACCTCCAGGAACCTCCCAGAACCTCCTAAAACCAGCCCGGAACCCGCACCGGAAACCGCACTGACTGAGCATTTATCCGGCCTGAAACGCCTAAGCCAACGCTCTTGGGGAAATAATGAGCTCCTCGTGTTCTCTTTGGCATTGTGCAGCTTTCCAAAAATGAATCGCTTCCAATAGATCCTTTGGCATGGATTTTGGATGTGATTTACCAAACAAAAAAATCCAAAGGCTCCCGAGTCAGCAACGTTGAAGATAGCAGCCTTTGGCTCTATTCTGCAGCTTGGCATCGCCTGGACTCGAATGTACTTTGTGGACTCTGCCGTCGGGCCTTTGGCATGTAGACTTTGTAATTGCCTTTGTCATGTCTTTTGACAAATGAAGATGTCAGCCTGCAGCAAAGCCAAAGCACATTCCCATGGACCTGCTGTCTGAGTTGGGGCACCAGTTGAAAAGAGTGCAGGAATGTGCAAGAGTCCAACACAAGCACAGCAGTGCCCTGGTGCACTTCGATATCTTCATCTTGCCACTGTCATTTCTTCAAGTCTTCGCTTTTTTGCAATTCTGCGATCTCCCCTTCTCCTTTTGAATTCCTTGTCGGTCTGGCCTTTGGGACCATTTTCACTTCCCCCAATAGCCTCAACCACTTATTAAATTGACAAGAGCAAAATCGGACAACGACTAAGGAACACGCATGAATGCTTGCTCCAAAGGTGACATGATCAGGTTTGGGACCTTCGCAAGAACATAACGCAAGTGTTTGAATGTAAGAGCGGCTCAAATCTGCACCTTGATCAAGAAGTTCCTGCAGCAACACGATGCCAGCCTGCCGCCATCTTCAGTTGTCCGTCAGTCATCGAATGCACACTCTGATGCATCGCACTCTGATGCATGTTTACAAGGGCCGCTTGGTGGTATTGAAGCGAGTTGGCAATTCTACTCTAGAAAAGGAGATCTTGACTTGGATGTTCAGACTGGATCAAAGAGATCACACGGAACTTGCCGCATACCCTCATGAACAAAGCAAAGCGGTTTGCTGCGGAAGAAGACTGCTGCTGTAGGAATGTAAAACTGGAAATTGAAGCAGCAGAATGTAGCTGGCACCATCACACAATAATCAGCTAGGAAAGGAAGGAAAACGAAAAGCATGCAAGCCTGCCACGCTGTGCCGAAGCGACAAGCACCTATTGTAGCATTGTAGCAACAAAGCAAAGAGCTGCTTGCCCAAAGTTTCTTCTGCGGCAGGTTGTTGTTTGCCTCCAAACATTGCATGCTCGTGATGCTGCAAAACCCGTGCTTGTATAAGACGTATGAGATGCAATACGGCAATAGCACATTGTATACCCGTTAATCTGAGTGCCTCTCCTTTAGTGAAATTTGGGCATCTGGTGGAGTTCTCGTAGCTATGTTTGCTCAGGACAGCTACGTGACCTCTTTCTGCGCTCGATTCAGTTCCAGGATAGCATCTTCCTGACAGCTTCTGAAGGCACCGGGACGAGCAGGCACGAGTATAAAGCACCACACCACATCACACCACAAATACTTTGCATGACTTTGCAACTTTGCAACATCTCTTGAATTCGTGCAAAAAATAGCATTGGGCTCAGTGGCTGTGCCTAGTTGTACTTTCTGAGATTAAGCATTGAGTTCATGAGTTCAAGAGTTCATGAGTTCAAGAGCTGGGGCCGCTAGGGTCAGAGAGCCCTGTCTGAAACTCGGCCGAGTTTCCCAATGCTGAGATCGTCCCAGGGACACCAAGATCTTTGGCCTTACCAGAGATCGGCAGGCACAGTTACCACAGTTACCACAGTACTGCAATCCCATAGATTTCACTTGTCAAGCCCTGTCAAGCCCTGTCAAGCCCTGTCAAGCCCTGTCAAGCTACCACCTTCTGCCAAATGATCCAAATTGAAAGTGGAATCCAGGGCTGACACAAAGCACGAAGCGATGTCTCGTATCGGACCGCCATGGATCCATCCTTTCCACCATGAGGGTCATGAGGAAATACAGTTGCCTTTCTAGCCAAATGTTCTACCCCTGGCATTGCACGATGGACACAATTGTAGCTCCCAGCTTCTGACTAAAGCTTGCGGCATGCTTAGACAACAATGATCGTACGTGATCGTACGTGATCGTACGTGATCGTACGTGATCGTACGTGATCGTGCACTCTGTAGATCTAGTTGAGAAAGTAGTGGCGGGCCTACTTCAATGTATAATGATGTATAATGTAATATAATGTAATGTGTCTTACAAAGGTAAGCGGTCCAGTGCAGCTTTGTGCTCGACAGCCGAAAAGCAGGCCCCAGATAGCCCAGAGGAAAATTCTAGACGCCAACACTGTGCACCGAGGCAAAAGTATCAGCAATGTGATTCAAAAATGCACAGTGCATTCATTGCTGATCTCAATTTTTTGATCTGCATCTGGCATCTGGCATCTGGCAGCACCTCAAACAGACTCTCTAGGCATCGAAGGCAGTGAACTTCAAAACGGCAGTCCATAGAAGTCCACTAAAGAGCTCAATGTTGCGTCGCCTTCAGAAGATATCATCTTGTCGGTACTTTTGGAAAGCGTTCGGTAGTTCGAAATGGTTCCTGGGAACATGATACTCCAGCAGAACATGTGATCATTATCTGTCTGGCCAAGTAGTGTTTCTTTCTTCCTGCTTTCTTCACACCAAAGGTCAAATTGCCAAAGCCTTCCAAAATTTGAGTTCCTCAAAATAGAATCAGCTAACAGCCAACACACAATGCCATCTCTGTTTGGAACAATCCAATTCAATTCAATTCAAGCGTCTCCGCCAATGGAAAATTCTCCTCCACAGAACAGCTCCACATGAGTGTCAAAATCACCCTGCTGGAATTTGCAAACGGTGCTGGGGTTGGAGGTCGAACATGCCACAATTCATTCTTTAATTATGAGTGGAAAACAATCCTCTCTGGTCCTCCGAAGGCACTATGTAGAGATCTGCAGGAATGATCCGAAACCTGTGGAAACAAGCAAGTGTGAAGCCAACAATGTTCCAGCCACCGACAACTGCAAGACTTCTACCTCACTCATTGCCTCATTGCATGACAGCCGTCCAAACCAAACAGTGAATGCTTCTTTGAATAAAATCAAAGCTTCGAGAAGATTCGAGCACATTTGTGCGCGCATGCACTACTCCCTATGGAGGCGGCGAACCCAACACATAGACTTTTTCGCTCTACACATTGAAATTCAAAACTATTCAATTCAATTTCAATTTTCCTTATTCTCCTTGCATTCTGGCAGCGATCTGTGCATGTGCAGGGGTCTTGATGCCTTTCGGACGGCCAGAAAGTTGCAGTTGCTCAGTTGCTCTCTTCACTTTCTCTTGTCGTGTTTCTTCCAACATCTTGGGACGCTAGAATGCAAACTCTTCCCCCAGGAAAAAAAACTGAAACTGTCCGTTGCATAGGGCCCCACCTTCGTGATTGCAAATTCGTGCTGTGTCTTCCTTTCTCTTTGCTTCACAACAAGCTCGACGTAGCGCTGCTGCACGTCGTCCTGTGTGGTGTCAATAAAGTCAGTGGTCAGGTCATGATTGTCAAGTGACACTATGCCTCTGCTTCACCCATCTTTCAGTCCCTAGTCCTCCCTTCTCTGCATTTCCCACGAAATGTAGAGCCTGGAATCTAGGCTTGGAGTTGCTCAAAAGGAGGAAGCCATGATGCAGTGTATGCAGTGTGCGCAGTGTGCTCTTTACAATTTGTTTCGTCAAGAGTCCATGGATCTCCAAAGTTGACATCGTAGCCCCCTTCTTCTCCTGGCCTCAGCATGTACAGTCAGGATCTTTTAAACTGAAATTCCATCGCTTCCTCAGATCTTCGCAATTGCCCCAATCTGCATGGGGACAACAAGTCAACTTAATTCCTTGATTGATGCTTCTCTACTCTCGCTCTCTCTCTCTCTCTCACTAGACCTTGACGGGTTCCAAGATCTGCGTGCCAAGGGCATTGCTTGACCAATTCAAGAAGCCGCTGGTCATCTTGAGGAGTCCATGGTTTTCCTTCAAATGCCTTAAACGGTCCAAGAAGGAAGTTGCCTCTCTTGATCAAAGATATCAAAGCAAAGGCTCGTCTGACTTGACAGCTCCCCAAGACTGTGATCAGACACCAAAGATCCGTTGAATCTTTCTTTGAAGATATCTGCAGATACTCGTGGCCACAGACCTCGGAAACTGCCAGGGCCATCTTCCGGAATGGACTGTCCCGACTCTGGAACTAAGCGACGGACCATGATTGAAAAGAGTAATGTATTTGTCCAGCTTGCGTCTTTGTTCCGCTGTGATGTCCTTGAAAGAAAAACATGGGAAGAGACCTCCAAGTCCCAGAGCCGCTAGGGGCACGGCTGGAATTCGCATAATGTCACGAGGAGACATTGAAATGAAATCCTTCCAGTGCCTCAGGAGGATAGTGACACTGAATCTGTCTGGAATAGACAGATAATATTGAATAATGACACAATGTATTCACAATGTGACATATCCATCACTTTCACACTTCGGTTGCGTGTCTAAGATCCTTTCTCAAAGAGGTTGGCAACATCTTCTGCTCCATCCCCAAATTTCATGTGCTCCAAAAAGTTCTGGATTGTCCAGCCTTGCGTCAAGGTACTAAAGCTCTTTTGAGACAAAACCCCATATGGCACCAACTTCCCAAGGGTCAAAATCCCCTCATATTCTCTCAGCATTTCGCTGGGTGCACAGTTGAAAGAATGCTGCTGACCCCAAAAGGCTTTCAAGTAGAAGTTGATGACTTGACAGTGTCCTGAATACTGTCTAATGCTCTCTGCACACAGATGCACATCGCACAGCCCTTGTCATACAAATGTTGTCTTCATTCTACAAGGTCACATGGCATGATGAAGGTGGGGCCGACAAGGAGCTCCCATCTGTTTTGCTTAATGGAACACGAGGTGGGAACGTGTATCACTTGCTCTTCATTTTTTGCAACAGGTCCTCGTCAGTCTGTTTCCTTAGCTAGGACTTTCCAACTCGCCTTCAGGTGGGGGAAGAGCATATTCCCGGCGGACCTAGGGCAGAAACATGCAACAAGAGATGCAACAGGAAAAATCCAGCTGAATGTGAGACATGTATGGCAGCAACGCGCCTCTCTAAGTTCTGCTTCAGAAAGGCTTTCCTTCTTCTCTTTGAGCCTTGGATCACTTTCTTGGGGCACTTGAACGTACACCGGAGAATATCTAAGGTTCCCGGCGCTTTTCGAAAAGCCTGGGCAACAAATAGGAAAGCTGGATCTTTGTAAGCAAGAGTAAACTATGCATAATCATGCGGAGCTTTCGGATACACACAACCAGTGGCCTTGAAGTCAAAAAAGCGGGGAGCAAAACCAATATGCTTCGGCACTTCATCACCTGGCGAAATCTTAAATACATTTAAATTCATTTAAATTCCATGGAAACTTCGAAACTTCACTCCTTAAAACTTGGACACGTCAGTCGCCAGAAATCGGAAGCTGGGAGTGCTGAAGAAGCGCCGGCCAGTAACCCATCCTCGAGATAACTGCAAAGCTAGACATGATGGAGTTGATTGAATCATTACATTATTGGGTTGGCTGCAATCTATCCAACAGTTTTGCAATGTTGAGTAACGCACCTCTTTGTGAAGGGATTCTTGAACACCTTCGATGTAGAAAATTGTGTCACAAGCATCATCCGTCAAGTATGCTCCTGTGATCACTCATCATCCGGAAGTTCTGAATTCCTTCTGTTTGGACTGTGTGTTCGTTAGCTTTGAAGAGTGGGATGTACATGTGGTGAAGTGAGACTTTGCCTTGGCATGCCTTGGCTATCTAGAGCTTTCAAGACATGACTGACAATTGACAAACACATCCAAATCCACATGCACACAGCTCATGTGGGCCTGTCAATGTGTCTCAGCGATCTCAAATTCGCGGCCATGGACAACCGGTTTCAGCTTTCCCGTTGATCCAGGACGGGAAATCCATGGAAATCCACTACAATGTCTAGGAATGTGCTGCACATGTAGCTCCAATAAAGCCCTGAGATAGACAATACCTGTCAAGCCTTCGCTCCCCAAAGCTCTCATTGATAACATATTGTTTGGATTTGTTTGGTATGAACCCATGCGGTATATGACTATTATATATTATTATGTTATGAGTTATGGATCGAGATAAATGTGAAAAAATAAACCATAAAGAGATGGCATTCGCACCTTAACCAGACCGCTATCAATATCACATGCATCTCATAGTGAGCACTAGCATGTACCTTGGAGTGTTGGGAGTCCACCCAGAGCCAAAGCAGGAGGGAGGTTGCAAGATTGACTTCATGCTGACCTCGCGCGGAAGCCTTGCTGGTGTCCAGAACGGTCCAGTTTGTGTCGCACATTTTTGCATGCCATCTGCGTTTGCAGAGCTTGCTTTGTGAGACATCTGGACTTTGACACTAAGATGCTGAGATTTGGACTCACTCACAGCCCGAAGATCGGCGAGTGCTCGGAGCAGGGCTGAGCAGTGCTACCTGACGGCATTCCATCACAGCACACAACAGCACAAATGCTTTAAAAAAAAACATGACAAAGGATGCTCGTGACAAAGGATGCTCGTGACAAAGGATGCTTTGTTGATATGTCCGGGAAATGTTCTGGAATTTCAAAGCCTACGAATTGAAAATGCGAAGAACTCAGATTGCATTTCCGGTGCTCAGCTTTGTAACTGTTTGTCCGAGAGTCTTCTTCACAGCAAACTGTTTGGAAGTTTGACATATATAATATTTCATAATTCATAATTCACTGAAAATCTGTGCATTCGGAACAGCGCTGAGTCTACATGAAGCTAGCAACCTTGTGAAGGTTCAGCTTCAAAATCACATGACTTTCTGTGGAACTGAGGTTTACAGTCTGCCAGTCAAGTTTTGCCCCTTAGACAAAGAATAAACTCAAAAACTTTGATGAATTAATGCCGTGCCTGCGCTGATGCGGCTTCTACAAGAGTTGTAGAAGAATAACCTTTCAGCCGCGAATGTGCAGAGAGACTGGATGACTAAACAACACATAGAAACATCTCAAATCCGGCTAATCAGCTCATGAGCGTTCTGCTTCACAAAAGAAGATGCCTTGAAACTGTCGAAGCGGAACGGGAGGAACTGTTGGTAGAGGAGGCGGAAGTGGTGCGCGAGAAACTTGCGGCTCTTGTGAAGAGGCTGAAGTTGAGAGACTGGGTGGACAATCTGGACAGTGGTTGGTTTCATCACGCCCGAGATCGTCCTTCCCTTGACCGGCAGCACAAGCCTTCACAACTAAAAGGCGGGAAGACATTGGAAGACATGTTGCTTTGCTGCGAGATACAATAAAATACAATAAAGATCCAAACAAGATTATGTCCTACTTATGTCCTTTGTCTATCTCTGACTTAATCTTTTTACCTAATGTGAGATGTATCTTGGCTTCACATTAGCTTCACAGGTGCCTCCGCATGGGCCCGCCAAGAAGTACCACCTGAAGACGGAGATGCACCAGAATCGCAAGCGGACTCCACCTGAGCGCAGCCCGCGCCAGAATTCTTCCCCAAACCACTGGTCTTACGTCTTGAATCTTCCATGCTACTTGAAGATATTTGAAGCATATTAAAGCATGCAGCATGCCATACAGTAATCATTGTTGATCATTGTCGCGTGTTGCAAAATGCTATATATAAACGGTTTACATGTTTTTCAGCTTTCACTGCCAGGCCTCGTAGACTTCTTCAGACGCTCTTTGAGGCCTTGGCCTGCGTTTTTCTCGCGGAACGGATGGCCTGGATCAAACGCGCCAAAATTGACATGTGCATCATGTGTGCATCATGTTTGCATCATGTGTGCATCATGATGCACAATTTGTGTAAATGCATCGCAAGCATTTCATATCACTTGAGCAGCTCGTGACACCATGGTTTTGAGAAAGCGATGATCAACAGCCAGCTTATATGCACAATGGCAAGATTGCAAATGTACATGTAATACTGCAATACCAATCCGCCTGCCTGCCGGCGTGTCTTGTGGATCTTGTTTGTTCGTAGTTGTACTGTCTGTTTTGTCTTGTCTCTGTCTGGCATTTTCCCTATGCGCGGATTTTTGCCTCGTCTAACTTGCACCTAATCCCCCCCTTCCCCCCCCCCCCCCCCCCCCCCCCCCCCCCCCCCCCCC